TTCCCCAGATGTTTGATTACTCACCAGACCATATGATTTTTCAAGTTGGAAAAGTTGATTTCACTTTCCTTACGATCATATATAGAATAATTATTTTGTTCCATGGAGCAGCCAGCCCACACAGTCCTGTTTTCCATGACATTTCTGTCTAGCAGCTGGCTTGCTTTCCCTTCCCAGGGTGACCTATGATCTGTGAATTATGTTGAGCCGAACAACCAGCCACCTCACAACGCTGCGAGCTCAGCTTTCTTCGAGACACACATAAAACATCAGGCAGATGCTCCCCAGTCTCGTCTGACGGGCAGACGTGGAGTTTTAACTTACAAAGCTTTGGCTGGGTTTGCTGATGAGCAGGAACAGGATCCCAGCACATCCTTTTACTGCAGTCTGGAAAGTCGTTTAATTTCTGGGAGATTCCCCCTCCTCCCCTGTCCCCTTCTTCCCTGCAACGTTCCAGTGTCCTCCAAACTCCAACCCTTAAATGGCTTTGTTTCCACTGCTGAGAAAACTCGTGAGGCTTCTGCACCTACATTTCATGAGGCTACTTGTACTTCACAAGCAGTGAGGCCACTTGGAAGTGGGGTTCAGAGGCTCACGGGGGCATCTTGGAAGCTGACTTCCTTCTGCAGCTGGCGCCCGCCTCTCAGACCCCCAGGGCTCTCACTGGCAAGTTGGTGCTAGTTGCAGAAGAGGGCTGCCTGCCTTCCTCTTCCCAGGTCTGAGAGCGGAGGGAAACACGCCCCGCCTCTTGTTTAATTCCGTGTTTCTGTCCTCTGGCTTGTTGCGGGGCGGCCGCGGGGCTCAGACCCTCTCTGGGCTCTCAGTGGGCTCTCGTGCACCCCCGCTCGCCTGTGCTCCGACTCAGTCCTGGCTGGCCGAGGCACTGGCTGTCTGCTGGTCATTCCTCTAGTTCTGAGCAACTAGCCCAACCGTTCTCCCTTCCTGTGCCTCCATTTCCCCACCTGTGAAACCAAGTGCTCTAACTCAGTCAGGGACTCTGGAATCTGGCTGTGTACCAGCATCATCTGGGTGCGACTCACGATGACCAATTCCCAAATGCCACCTCCCCCCAGCCGAGACCTATCAAGTCAGAAATGCTGTGGTTGGTGCCGAGGGACGAGCATTTTCAAATCTCTCTCTGTTTTTGATACAATCGCTCTAAGCACCCTGGTTTGAGAACCACCATGTTTGTGGGTCTCTAAGGTTACTTCTTTCAGAGATGCTACTGCCGCTGATAATGTTGATGATGGTGATGGCTTTTAACTACTCAGAGTAAAAGTGGGACAGGAGAAGAACAAAATGTCAGATTCATAAGCCAGATGCCCACGTGTCATCCACCTTGGGCAGATTTTGGTGAGACAAGCTTGAAGCTTATCCGGATTTGAACATGAATTAGGATGAGGAAGGGACTACTTAATGTCACAACATTAAGGCGGTTTTAATTTTTTAAAATTCACTTGGAAGATACATGCAAGACAAAATAGTCCGATGCCTTCCACCCACCAAACCTAGTAACAGATTTCTCTCTGTGCATCCACACAGCCCCGGCTTGGACACGTCCAGAGACGAGGAGCTCACGCCCCAGCAGGGAAGCGTGCGCCACGGGGGCACAGCTCTTTTTAAATAGTTCTTCACTTTGAATCTAAATACTCCTTCCTGAGCTCCTTCCAAATTGATTTCCTCTGTGTGTGTGTTTGTGTGTGTGTGTGTATGTGTGTGTGTATGAGACAGAGAAAGAGAGAGAGTGTGAGTCTGCTGTTTATTTCCTTGAAGCCCCAAAAGATAGAAAATGGGGACAGAGGATTCTGGCACTAAGACCCCGAGCGCCATCGGAGGTGTCACTGCCACTGTCCCGGGGAGAAGGGCTCTTGTGGAGGAGGAGAGGGGCAGCAGGCATGGTGGCGGCTCTCTGCTTGGGAATTTGCCAGTAAGACAACTGGAGAACTATCGGGGAAGAAGAACCCACTTTAAAAGCAGGCTCCTGAGTTCGGGTGTTCCTGTCCACTCCCAAGGAGCTGCTCCCCGTCCCCACCCTACAAGCCTCTCAGGGCGCAGACGTGAGTCTCCAGAGGGGCTCTGCTGGGTCCCCATCACACTGACCTCTCCCCACTCTCGTGACTCTGCAGGTCCCATCGTCTGTGGGTTGCTGAGCTCTCCCAATGTCCTGCTTTGCCACGTCAGAGACTGGAGGGAACCTCCTCAAGCCCAGGCTGATGCCACATGCCCTGGGGTGACTTACGATCAGGACCGCGGCCAGGTGATGCTGCGTCTGGGAGGCCAGGAGTTCAAGGGTAAGTCTTTACCTTCTGCCCGCGTGTGTTCCTACACGATTAATTGTCCTGACCCACAAGGTCTGCTAGACCACTAGGAGCCCTCTCCATACTCTGAGGGATGCATCCTGAAAAGCCGCTGAGTCAAAATGCTGCATGAAAAACACCCAGAGCATCTCAACAGCACTCGGCAAGACGCACCGACGTAGCCCTGGGCTGCAGGTGCGCTGCGGGCGGCTGGCTCAGCTAGTGGCCGCGCTGACCTCGGCTGGACTTGCTCAGGCATCTAGGGGTCGCCTGGCAGTTGGCCGATCTCGTCTGGCCTTGGCCAGGACGGCCTGGCCCTGCTTCACGTGTCTCTCGTTCTGAAAGAGCATGTTCTCCTGTGGGCAGAAGCGGGAGAGAACAAGGCGATGCCCCAGGCGATGAGGGTGAGGCTTGGATCTGCTGCTCTGTCACCGCTGCCTTAGTGCGCTGGCCCGACTGACGGTCCAGGCGGGGAAGCACTCCTTCTCGCTAGTGGCAGGAACTGCAAAGTCCCGGGAAAATATGTGGCTACCAGGAGAGGTGAAGAACTGGGGCCCAAAACGTGAGATGTCCCCCAAGCCAGTGTCCCCAGGGCGTCTTTCCTGTCTTAGAGTTAAGAAATTGCAGGTGGTAACGATTGCACTGCCCATTCTAATTACTGGGGCGCAAGGAACTGTGGGCCCCGTGACAGGGGCTTGATCGACTGAAATAACCACGGAGCTTTCTCCTTCCCCTGCTTTCTCTCAGAAGCAATCCACCCCTTTCCACAAGCTGTAAGCATTAGATCTAGAAGGTACTTCTGAGAGCCTTTGCCTGCCCCTCATTTTACAGGGAGGGGCGTTAGCATCCGCAGCCCCAGGTGGCTGGGCGGCAATCTCTCCGCCTCCCCCGCCCGGAGGGCCTCTCCGCACATCTCCCTCGGGGAGGAGTGGGTGCCGCTGGGTCCTGAGCCGGGGCTGACCTCACCAGTGCTCCTCAGCGTGGGCAGGACCGCAGGGCAGCCTCACTAGAAATACAAATTCTCAGGCCTCTTCCTAGACCAGGGAGGCCACAGAATTCATTCTAATGGGCTGTCTGGATAGTACCACGCCTGCTAAGTCTGTGAAGCACTGATTAGGGGGCCTGGAAGTTTCCTTCCGACCCGGAGAGCCTGAGGTTACAGTGAGAACAGGGCCCAGCTGCTCCCTTCCCTCTCCCAGATCCAGTGTGAGGGTGGGGGAAGCCCGGCTCGTCTGCCTCCTCTCTGCTCTGCTACCTGAACTCAAACTCTACACCGTGTTTCCAGTCTCCCCTCTGAGCTGGGAGGCGTGAAGCATGTACTGATGTCAGCCAGACAGGGGAGGGGAGGGGACCGAGCGGAGGTCAAAGGAGCTGTCTAGGGGGCTCCCGTGGAAGGTTCCCTGTCTCTACGGGACAGGATCTTCCAAGCGTTGGCAGAGACCATGTCGTGCCTCCTGGAGAAGTTGCCAAGCCCTGCTTCTCAGTGCACTGCAGCTCTTGCAGTTCTGATGGCAGAGAGCTCAGTTTCACCTCCTCCGGGAGCCCTCCCTGACTGCCCTGCAGTGCTTACTGCCTCCTCTCCTGCACAGCTTCGCGCGTGCTCCGTGCATCGCTCTGTTGGTGCAGCGGGCGGTGCGCCGGAAGTGCACCTTTGCCTGTCTGCCTCCCTCACTGGCCCAGCTGAGAGTTTGCCTGTGAGGTTGAATCCCGGCTTTGGACACCAGCTGTGTGACCTCGAGCAAGTCAGTAAATACCTTCAGGCCTAATTGCTAGTGCCGTGCTGGCAGCTCCCCTCTCACGGGGTTGTTGTGAAGATGAAAAGAGAGGATAGCCAGCAACAGCAGTAACAGAAAAGTCTTCCTTCGTGCTTACTGGGAACCAGGCAGGCGCCGCTCCAAGCTCGTGGCCTGCACTAACTCATGAATCCTCGACACAGTGCTTTGAGGGAGACACTATTGTTATCATTATCCCCATTTTATAGCTAAGGAAACTGAGGCACACAGAAGTGAGGTCTCCCCAAGGTCTCAGAGCTTCTGAGTAGAAGGGCTGGGGTCTGAAACCAGGCATTCTGGCTCCAAAGTGACATTCTTAACTGCTTCCCTATCTTGGCACTTACAAATAATACACATGTGGAACTTAGCAGAGCATCTGACACATAGTGTGAATATTAGATGAAATTATTATCATTTTAAAGACCTATCATTGGTTTTTTGCTATATTTTAAGCCCTTGACTTTTTATATAATATATAATAAGAACTATGTCTTAGTGATTCCTGGAGTCTCACCATGGAACATAAAACCTGGCCTAGAGAACACACATAGTATCTGTGGAGTGCCTATTTACCAAAGCCTGGAAGAAATATTGCAGAATTTGGTGGAATTCCATGAGGATCAGTTTCTTTGGGGTAAATAAAAGCGAATAGCTTATTTATATGATGGACTGTAAACATATGGGATCCATTACGCTGAGAGGTAGCCCAGGGTGAAAATGAGCATTTGAAGGAAAACATTTGATCCATTCATGGGCAGTAAATCCAGAGTGAATTGCTTAACACAGAGCACGTGCTTGGTAGGTGCCCAAGAAACCAAGAATATGCCCTTGTCTGGCCTCCCTGAGAAGGAGTGGTCACCAAAGGCTTTTGAGGTTTTTTTTCCAGGGCCTTGTGTGTCTGTGTATCTTTGGGGGTGTGGGCAAAGCTTTAAGAAGGGAACCCTTTGATGGGGATTTCAGGCAGCCTGACTTCATGATGTTCCAAATTGGAGGTTGCCTGGTTCATAGACTGATCAGGAGGCCACTTCCAACTGGGAACAATAGGGTATAAATCCTTTTCCACAATAAGAGATCAGTCTTTAAGTACAGCAAGTCCCTAAGAAAACAAACATAGTGATTTAAATTCTTATTAAAGTGTGAAGAACTGATAGATACCCTTTCCTAACAGCATGCTCAAGGCTGTACAAATAAACATCTTCTCTGCAGGTCTGACAGCCCTGGAAGGCGCACAGGACACCGTTACCAGTTTCCAGCAGGTTTATCTCTGGAAAGGTAAGCTCTGTGGTTGTGGGGGGTGGGGGTGGGGGGTAGGGGGCCGAGCAGGACACTGGTCACCGGAGACTGGCCTCACGGCTCTCTCACAGGCACTCTGCTCGCCAGAGAGCAAATGTAGAGATGTACTTTGAAGTGAGTGCTCTGTGTGGTGAGAAGGGCCTCCACTCTCATCAGATAAGATGCCACAGTATAAAACAAAAGCTAAAAGTGTGGAAACTTAAGCAAGGAGGGAGGGAGGAAGCGCTGGCTCCTGTGAGATCAAGTTCGCTGACCACAAGCTGCCCTTGTTAGGAGGATGGGAGCTCTGAGGCCCCCTGCAAACTAGGGGAGGCTTTTTTCCAAGGGCACTGGGGCACGGGGGCCTCCCTCCTCGAGGCAGGTGTGCCGTGGACTCATGCTTGGTGTGCCTGCTCCTGGGGATGCACTTAACCGGTGGGGGCACAGGTGAAATACACGCTCGGCGTCTCCATTCTGCTTGCTTTGTCCTCCTTTGAGTTTTCTAAACATTGATCAGGTGCCCACTCAGAGCCAGGGACTGAGAAAGGCATTTGGGATGGGTCTGAGCAACATGGTGAGAGGGATGAGTGAGGCGCAGCTTTGATGGGTCAGGGGCTCCGGCCTCAGAAGGGAGCCGACCGGCAGGGACCGCTACGTGTTATGGCCATAGGTGCTAGGTGCAGGCACAGGAAAGATCCGGCCCCTGTATCGCTGTTTCCCTCCTCTTCCTGTGATTCCTCCTCTCTCATCTCCAGTCCCCTAAGAGATAGGACTGGTGACCTGTTTCTATGCCTGTGAAATAGTGGGAGAGAGCAGACTGTGGACTTGGAGTGTCTGGGTATCAATTCTGGTTCTGTTACTTCCCACCCATGTGACCTTGAACACATGGGTAACATGGCATTAAAAATGGTGCCAACCTCATAGAGTTGTGTGAGCGTTGGCTCAGTCATGCCTGTAAAGTGCCTACGACAGTGCCTGGTGCATCACCAGGGCTAATCAGTGGTACTGATGGTGGTGGAGATGATGATGCAGGAAGAGGGAGAAACGGAAGGGGGAGGAAGGTGCCCATCATCACTTGCATTTTAAGGTGACATAATGAGGTTATACGCTTCTTTCTTCATTTAGTCATAACTACATTGTATATATGAGGGTCGGGTGACATTTTGCTTATTTTTCAGACCAAAAAGAAAAAAAGAAGACTTGGAAAGGTTCAGTGAAATGCCCACAGGAGGTCCTGGGGTGGGACCCAGACACTAGTTGCAAGTCCAGTGATTTCCACCTATCAGGAAATTCTGTGTTGTACGATATCCTGTAGCTTAAGATGCATATGTGGAGTATAACCTTTAAAATTGTGAATCACCGTGTAGCACACTGTAACTCATGTGATATTGTAAACCAACAATTTAAAAAATACAATTAAAAAGAAAAAAGAAATTTCTGGTAAATGATTTGCTAGCTGGTAAAAAACTAAGGATTTGCTTCTCCCCAGGACATCTGCCCCACTAAACAGAAGCACCCAGGGACCTGCGTAAAACCCTATCCCCCCTCGTGGAAGACCTGTTCCCGCCTTGGAAATTTTCTTTAATTTTTTCAAATTTCAATTCATGTACTTTCCACCTCCATGTTCTGGGAGAAGTTATTTCAATTCTCTGAGTTTCAGTTTTCTCAAGAGTAAAGAGGAAATGTTACTCCTTCACAGGGTGTCGTAAAGACCAATATTTATAAACCTATTTCGTTAACTCTTTGCAAATGGTAATACTTTCAGTGTCAAGGACAATAACAGCCCTGCTATGGAGAGAGGTTGGCTGACGTTCCATACAAGGCCAGGGAGCGCAAGCATAGGCCGCTGGGTTGTTCCATATCTTGTCCGAGCGCCTGGCTGTGGACCGCAGGGATTTCCCACAATGGTCATCACCATTTCGTTGACCAGAGGGGTATCTCCCCTTTTTCTTCCCAACATTAGAACAACAGTCTTTTTTTCTCTTAGATTCTGACATGGGGTCTCGGGCTGAGTCTATGGGATGCAGAAGAGACATGGAACCAAGGCCACCGTCTCCAACAGAGACAGGTACTCACCCCCAAACCTTAGAATGTATTTGAGTGGCTGATCGTGGAGGCGACATGGTGATGCCAAGGGTCTAAGTGGTGAATGCACCCCTAACCCCACTCCATTCTACAGCCACGGACTGCCCTCTAAGCTTCCAACCCCACTATCCATTTCATAAACGTGGATGGCTCCTCGGAGGGCCAGTGGGCACAGAAAGTAACGTGAAATGAGGGAGAAAACACGCACAATAACAAATCCAGCAAAAAAAGAAAAAACTATTTAAGAGCAAGTTTCATCTGTCGGGGTCAGTGCCTTCGGTTTTGCAAACCCTGAAGAATGTAAGCAAAATGGAAGTGTTCTGGAATTGTTTAATGAACAAGATGTCTGTGAGGGTCTCTTGAGAGAGAGTCATTTCAGGCAGTGGAAGATACCAATGCATACCTTCACAGGATGTAAATCCATCCGTGCGTGGTGTCTGAGGCTCCTCCATCCCCGGGAACTACGGTTGTTATTCCTTGGGTGGAGCGGAAAGTCAGAGAGAGGGAGAGAGAGAGGGAGGGGAGGGCAGGGAGACAGGAGGCAGGTCAGCCTGTGGGCAGGGTTGATGAAGAAGCCTGTCCGCTGGGTGAAAGAATGGACACTGTAGCCACTCAGTGTGTCCCTGATCGACATGCCACATCCGGGAGGAGCCAGGTGGGCCAGCAAGAGTGTAGGGTGCTGGGGGGAGGCGAGGCCCGAGGCAAACAGGAGAACCACACCTGCCCTGGGGCAGTTATGTTTGTGATCTCTGGTCCCCCACCTTAGCAGCACCTCTGAGGGGTAGCCAGGCTGCTCATGGCCTTGTAAACGTGAATGTTTTCATGGTGCTTGAGAATATTCTGTAAAATCCGTCATTATCCGCTGCTGCCAGGGTTGCATCTACAAAACTATCACATGATTCCCACAGGAAGGACCCCCTCTCCTCCCCCCACCAGGAGGGCTTCAGGGTGAATAGACAAAGCCCAGCTTGGGTCTCGCCTGCCCAGCTGATCACACTCCTGGACTTCAGAAGACAATGGCCCTGCGGGAAACCCTTCTGATGGGCTCTTCTGCAGCGGGGCTCACTTACCTGGGCTCTGTTCTTCTGTGTGAGAAGGTCCCCTCTGAGTCAAAGCACAGCAAGGAATGTTCCCCTTTCTGCTTCAGGTGACTGCAGATACTCTGAGCATCTGAGACACAAAGAAGAGCCAAAGAGAACCAACCCCCAGCTGGCAAGCCCCCTGTTGGCCTCCTTGCCTTCACAGGGAGTGTCAAGTTGTGAGAAAACACGTAGATAAAGGGTTCTTCCTGATGTGGGGTGTCAATCAGGGATGAACTGAGTGGCTACAGTATCCCTTCCTTCACCCAACACTTTTTTTGTGTACGTGGGACCCACGGACGTTCCCAGAGGACGGAGGATTCCCACGTAGCAGCCACTGTGTGACAGCCTGGCGAAGGCTGTGATGGGGACAAGTGTCAGGGCGATGGGAACGCAGGGAGGGAGGATGCTAGGTGACTTCTCGGAGGAGCCCAAAGGATCTGCCAGGCACTTCCAGAGAAGCCCGGGGAGAGGGAGTTCCAGGTGAGGGGAGCAGCCTGTGCAAAGGCTCTGAGGACAAAGTGTGATTCCAGGATCTTCAAGTGAACCTTTAGGCTGGCTGTGCTGTTTTTCCTTTCTTACTCTGCTGTCTTAAGAGGTGGTCTGGGCTCTCCTGCCTTGT